TCTTCACTAGCATGGACTTTGACACTATGCATATCTGACTGTAAAACCTCAGTTGCTGCTGAAAAATGTTAATATTAGCAATAGACAAAGGTTGAAAGTCAGCCAGTGAAATCATTTATTTACGGTATATATATTAAAGTGAGAGCGTCGAACGGACTTTCATAATCTCTGATTACTACTAGTTTAATAAATAGTGGACAAAATTGGACTTGATAAATGTTTTGTGGGTGAGGGTAGGTACTCATTTACTCGTTTCCAATTTAAGTACATGTGCATGTAGTGAGTTCAGTGTACTCTTGGGTGGGCATTTTCTTAGTCTTTTTCTGTTTGCTTTTTTAAGTATTATTTTCTTTTAGATTTTGACAATAAATAAATCAAGTTAAATTCAGACTTGGGGTATCATAATTATGAAATGGTTATAGTTTATTATGGCAACAAATATTAATGCTTTGACAAGTTGCTTCTGATTTTTCCTTGTTGGAAACTGTCTAAATATGCTATACTATACTTGTGTAATTATACTGAGAAAATAAATCACGATTGATCATTTATTAGCTTGGGAGTGCCTTATTACCTTGTCTATTTTTATTGTAATTGTAGCATGCATACATATGACATTTTCTGTGTTTGGAAATGGTGGGGAGCAAAAGATAAATAAACAAAACAACAAAAAAGCAGGCCTAAAATGGACTAACAGGCTCAAAAATGAGGTTCTCACTTGAGTATTTTCAAGCTAAATGCCTGTTTTGGTGAAATACTTGGTTGACTCATGTGAGAAAATTATTTCTCCTGCTATGTGTGTATGTGATATCTATAATTACATGTATATTCATGTTATAGGGTATCCGCATGTAACTTGCACCTTGCTACAAACTTGACCTTATCCATGGGGCTGTTTTATCATTGAGTTTATTTTAAATTACAGTAATTCTTTTAAAATTACACTTAAGGTATGCATTTGTTGTTTCCCTTGTGTTGAGACTCCTATATTCTCACTGGAGGAAATTGGCTCTGGTAATATTAGAATCAAGTTCTGTTAAAAATTTTAAGGCAGTGCACTTATTACATGTGCATGTATGTGTACTACACTGTAATCACTGTGCAACTGTGGCCCTGTCTATACAGTGTACTTGTATAGAAGCAAGGGACACAACTAATGGAGAGTGTCTGCACTATTAAGTGGGTTCACATGCCTTTTAATGATGCCACTATGTGCAGCTGAACATTATTGTCAACCTATAGTGTAGGCTTACATTATATTACAATGTGTGTACAGTCTTCATTCATTTCACTTGTTATTGCTTTTGGAGAAATT